TGAATGTAACTGTCAGACCTCGCATAGTAGGAAAACATGGTGTTGGATGTGGACTTGACTGAATCTGTCTCTTGGCTCCATAATTTTCTAATTATGTTGTCTTCAGAGAGCTACACAATGTCCCTTAGCCTCAGTTTCCCCAAATGGCACACAAGGATAATGTCTACACCAGAGAGGGTTGTTGTGAGGATTAAAAGAATGTATGGGAAATGTCTAGGACATAGTAGATGGTTCATAACGGAGTGCTGTCGTTATTTAGGAGCTCTGCTTTTCTGAGTCCTCCCAGGACTCTTTCACATGGTGGAGGTAGGGTTGATAAGGATGCTTTACTAACATAAGCGAACTGAAGCTGAGAAGTTGAAGTCGAATGTATCAAAATATAAAAAATGTATAAAATGTTAAACTGTCTAACAACAATAACAGAACAAAGTGATATGGCAGAATGTTAATAAATGTGAAATACAGATGACAGGTATTTGGGTCTTATTCTTTCTACTCTTCAGCATTTAAAAAATTGTTTTTGTCATAAAAGGTCAAATAGTAAAAGCCATGAAATATGTATACTTTGAGAAGAGGCAAATCAATGCATTATTAATTTTTTATAAAGCTTAGAAAGTCCACAAATGCTTGACATATAATTTTCATGTCTTTTATGCCTAAACTAGTAATAAATAAGAAAACAATTAAAACCATCATCTACCATCACATTAAAAAAGTTAATAAATGAGAAGAATATATATGAAAAATATTGATAAGTATAATAAATCTATTTAAAATAGACTGAAAATAAATACAACCTAGTGTATAAAACTTAGGAAGCTATAAAGCAAGGCTCACACTTTCCCCAGGACGGGGAAAAGGATCATTTCGTGGATGAGCCACCAGGGGACGCCAAAGAGCGCATTCTCGGGAACCGACTGAGAAAAAGGTAACAACTCAACTTGACCCCGGGAAGCGCGAATCCCAGAGAGTCACACTCATCACTACACCACCTGCAGGTCTGGGTGGTAGAAGAACATGGGACCCAGATCTGTTTGGCCTGTGTGGTGAGGAACATGCTTTGCTGAGCTGCCTGGGACCAGTGCAAGTGTGAGGCTGCTGTTGGCACCTCGTGCGATGTGGCAGCTTAGAATCCCTGGACGCCGGGCTGACACTGTGTCAGAGCTGACAAGTTTCACAGCCTCTCTGCTCCGAGCTGCAAAAGGGAAGATTCTTATCTGGGCTTCTAACTCCTTTTCCCTGGTAAGACTTACTTCCAACACGTACTGGAAGGCATCAGCACATTCAGGAAAAGAGTATACAGGAGCCGCTGAGGAGCTAGACTAGATTATTTCTGATCTGAAGCACTCCCTAGCTCACACCCTTCACGGACACAGTAATGAAGTGAGAGTGGCTTGAGCTGTGTCTACGCTTTATACATCTCATCCGCGAGGTAGGTCTTATATTCCCTTGTCTTGGAAAAAGAACGTCTTACTGAGTACTTGCTCAAAGTGCCTTCGCCCACTGATTTGCTACGTTCGCACAGTAACCTTGTGGAGAGCTACTACCAATCCTATTTGAAATGGTGGAAACTGCCACTCAAAGATGACTGGTCAGAGGCGATTCAGCCTAGACTCAAGGGGAGGCCTACCGAGGACAAGGATGTGAGTCCTACCACTGCTACAGACGGGAGGACAGAGGCAGGACACACTAAGGTCTCTCCCCCGGGCAGAGGCCGAGGCGGACCACCGCTCAGCTGCTGCTGCGCCCTCTCTCCACTGCACCATCCCTGCAGACGGGGATGCTGCAGTGTACAAGAGATAGAGGTGTTTTCCTTAAGGGATGGAGTTCTGGCAGGGTCTTCTAACCAGAAGAGCAGCAAAGGGTTCCTGGATTTTCAGGCTGGCATGCCCAGCTCTGACCACTTCTCACACACAATCACAGGGCATGGTTTTCCCACAGGAGTGACACAGGGCACCTCAGGTTCTGCAGCCCTGGTGACCGCTGAGGGCTCCATCACCGGATGTGCCACGGGTATTTTGCCTTTATTTTCCCAGGGCTCCACCCTGCATCACAGCTCCTGGTCTGATTTGGCATCACCAGCAAACTTAAA